CTATAGAAGACTGGTGGGGTCTGGGACTATAGAAGAGTGGGGGTCTGGAATTCCAAAAGTGTGGGGGTGGTATGGAACTATAGAAGAGTGGAGGGGTCTGGTACTATAGAAGAGTGGGAGGGTCTGGGACTATAGAAGGGTAGGGGTTCTTGGGCTATAGAAGTGGGGGGGGTCTGTCACTATAGTAGAGTTGGGGGGTCTGGGACTACAGAAGAAGGGGGTGTCTTTGAGTATAGAAGAGTCGGGGGTTATGGGACTATAGAAGTGTGTGGAGGGGTCTGGTACTATGGAAGAGTGGGTGTGGGGTGGTCTGTGACTATAGGAGAGTGGGGTTCTGGGACAAAAAAGGGTGGGGGAGTTCTGCCACTATAGAAGAGTGTGAGAGGTCTGGGAGTATAGAAGAGTTGTGGGGGTCTGGGACTACAGAAGAGTGGGTGGGGGTCTGGGACTATACAAGAGTGTGGGGGGGTCTGGGACTTTAGAAGAGTTGGGGGGATCTGGGACTATAGAAGTGGGGGGGTCTGGGACTATAGAACTGTGGGGGTAACTGGGACTGTAGAACAGTTGTGGGGTCTGGGACTATAAATGAGGAGTTGGGGGTTCTGGGACTATAGAAGAGTTTGGGGGGCTGGGACTATAGTAGAGTGGGGGCATCTGGGACTATAGAAGAGTGGGGTTATCTGGGACTATACAAATTGGGGGGTTCTGGGACTATAAAGGAATTGGAGTGGGGTGTGGAACTGTAGAATTGTGGGGGGGTCCTGGACTATAGAAGGGTGGGGGTGTGTGGGACAATAAAAGAGTTGTAGGGGTCGGGGACTGGTGCAGAGTGGTGGGTTCTGGGACTATAGAAGAGTGGGGGATCTGGGTTTATAGAAGAGTGGGGTGGTCTAGGATAAAATAGAGTGGGAGGGGGATCTGCTATTATAGAACAGTGGGAGAGGTCTTTGACTCTAGAAGGGTTGTGGGGGTCTCGGACTACAGAAGAGTGGGTGGGTGGTCTGGGACTATAGGAGAGTGGGGGTCTGGAAATATAGGAGAGTGAGGGGATCTGGGACTATAGAAGACTGGGAGGGGGATCTGGGACTATAGAAGAGAGTTGGGGGGTCTGGGACCATAGAACACTGTGTGTAAGGGGTTCTGGGACTAAAGATGAGTGGTGTGTTCTGGGACTATAGAAGAGTGGGGTGTATGGGACTATAGAAGAGTTGGAGGGTTTGGGAGTATACAAGATTTGGGGGTATCTGCGACTATAGATGAGTGGGTGTGTCTGGGACTAAAGAAGACCGGGGGGGTAGGGACTATAGAAGTGTGTGGGGTGGGTCTGGGACCTTAGAACAGTGGGGTGGTCTGGGACTATAGAAGAGTGGGAATGGGGTCTGGGACTATAAGAGAGTGGATGGGTCTGGAACTATAGAAGTGGGGGGGGGCGGTTCTGGGAATATAGAAGAGTGGGTGGGTCTGGGATTATAGAAGAATGGAGGGGTCTGGGACTATAAAAGAGTGTGTGTGTGGTGGGGTCTGGGAATAGAGGAGAGTGTGTGGGAGGTTTGTGAATATAGAAGAGTGGGGGTCTGGACTATAGAAGTGTGGGTGGGGTCTGAGGATACAGAAGAGTAGGGGGTCTGGGACTATAAAAGTGTGTGTTTGGTGGGGTCTTTGACTATAGAAGAGTACTTGGGTCTGAGAACATAGAAGTGTAGGGGGCTCTGGGACTATAGAAGAGTGGGAGGTCTTGGACTATAGAAGTGGGGGGGGCGTCTGGGACTATAGAAGAGTGGGGAGGCCTTGGTCTATACAAGAGTGATAGGTCTGGGACTATAGAAGAGTGGGATGTCTGGGACTATAGAAGAGTAGGGGGTCTGGGACTAGAGAAGAGTAGGATGTCTGGGAGTATAGAAGAGTGGGGGGTCTGGGAGTATAGAAGATTGGGAGGATCTGGGACAATAGAAGCATTGGGGGGACTGGGAGTATAGAAGAGTGGGGGCTATGGAACTATAGAAGAGTGGGGGTATCAAGGACTATAGAATAGTGATTGGGTCCCAGACTATAGAAGAGTTGGGGAGGTCGGGGACTATAGAAAAGTTGGGGAGGTTGGGGACTATAGAAAAGTTGGGGAGGTTGGGGACTATAGAAGAGTGGGAGGGTCTGGGACTATAGAAGACTAGGGTGGTCTGGGACTATAGAAGTCTGTGGATGTCTGGGACTATGGAAGAGTGGGGGTTCTGCGACTTTAGAAGTCTGTGTGAGGGGTTCTGGGACTGCAAGTGTCGGGGGTCTGGGACTTTAGAAAAGATGGGGTGGTCTGGGACTAAAGAACAGTGTGGGGGGTCTTTGATTATAGAAGAGCACTGGGTCTGGGACTATAGAAGTGGGGGGAGGTTCTGGGACTATAGAAGAGTGGGGGTCTGGGATTCTAGAAGTGTGGGGGTGGTCTGGAACTATAGAAGAGTGGTGGGGTCTGTGACTATAGAAGAGTCGGGGGGATCTGGGACTATAGAAGTTGGCGTGTGGGGGTCTGGGACTATAGAAGAGTGGGGCTATAGAATTTTAATCCCAGGAGGGATGTTCAGAGTGGACTATGCTGGATCAGATGCTCACCCACTGTTGAAGAGTAATGCAGCTATCAGCTCTTGCTGGAGGAGTTTCCTTATGCAGCAGATGGTGATTGACACAGAAACTTATGGCTATCTGATGTGCAGGGAGAAGGGGGCTGCAGAGCTTTTGCCTCTGAGTGGGACGCCTCTGCAGGGATTCTGAAGCTCAGGGCTTGGGAGTCATTGCGGAGGAGGAGGTGGAGAGATTGTGGGAGCTAGAGGTAGTGGATGACCATGGGGCAGGGGGTGGAGTTCTCCAGACAGCTGGTCAGTTACTCAGTTACTCATGTGAACTTGCAGCAATGGTGACAGCATGCACAAGTCCTATGCAAGCTCCAGTGGATGAACCCACACTGGAGAACCTTTGGGGATTCAAGTTAGATACTATAGGTTTTATTATCCAGAGAGTACATTGAATTGAGGGGGGAGGTGTGGGGAGGTGTGGATGGGCAAGGGGATATAAATGTCATCAATTTATACTGTATGGAAACTGCAAAATTTCAATAAAAATGCTAAAAAAAGAAAGGAAAGAAAGAAAGAAAGAAAGAAAGAAAGAAAGAAAGAAAAAGAGAGAAAGAAAGAAAGAAAGAAAATAAGAAGAGCAGATGGAATGTCTAGTGAGTAGACTCCATTAGCCAGGAGGGAATGTCGAGCAGTCTCCATCCAAGTCCGTCTGTTTGAGCCACCTATGATGCTAGACTCTTCTTCGTTCTTTACTAATTACTAAAATTTTAAACTTTTTTTAACCTAAAGTCACAAATGTAACATCAGGAGTGAAATTTCTAGGGTTTTATATAAAATTAGATAATGTGGTTAACTCATCTTTTATCAAACAAACATTCCCAACAAAAGCTAAGAGAAACATGAGAAACACCAAAGTGCATGACCTCGGTGAGATAAAAAGGAAAAACTTGTTGATAAGTGTTAGCAGGAAAAGGTTGCTGGTTTCAACCTTCCACCATGTCTCTAGCAACATAGATGAAGTCATCCAGCATGTGTAAGAGAATGAGATTTAGAACTGAAGGCAATGCTAGGCCTGACATGGTAAAAATCAGTACCCGGCAGCCTCATGACCCCTACCCCCAGGGCAACACTCAGGAGCTAAAATGCTGGTACTATGCCAGTCAGACAGCTCATTCCACCCTCCCTCCAACTGCAGGCAGCAGAGGTGCAATACTCCACCTTCTGGGAAGCAGGCATAGAAGCTAGCACAAAGCACTGCCTTGGCATTAAGGGCTTTGCCTTAGAGCTAAGTGCCAGGCCTTTATCATGACTTTTACAAATGTTCAAGACATTCATGTTTACTTGAATCTGGAAGTTCCAAACTACATCTACCATGCCTTATAAAGTCATTTGTAAAACACACTGATAGATGTGAATTAAAGCGAAAAACCAATTTTGATTACTGTAGAACTGTAGTCTGAAGAATAAATTGAGTGTTCCCTATAAACCAAACATCTTCGTAATCATTAGAATGAAAAGGAAGTAAATGCTTCAGCATACAGTGAGAGGAGAGTTTGCTTCGGCATACAGCGAGAGGAGAGTTTGCTTATGCAGTTGTGCGGCTAAAAGGATTCGGTCACAAGGACCCCTCCATTCAGCCATGCATCTACATTGATCACTAGCACCAAAACTTTAAGCAATTACATCCTTTATGAGTGCCTATTTTTGTAATGGAGAAAAGGTTCACAGTACATAGGCTGTATCTGTGCTCCCTATCCACAGAATTTAAAATCCGTTGTGCTTCCTAAACTCATTCCCATTTTGACCAGTACCAAACCCTGAAAAGCAAGCTAAGCAAAGGTTCTAAAGAACAAAATGATTTCATCTGAAGGAAAATGGATAGAACTGAAAATCATCCTGTTAAGGTAAGCCAGACATAGACAAATATCACATTTTCCCTCATACGTAGAATTTACATTTATTCATATATACATGAATATATATGAAAGTAGAAGTGGGAACAGATAGGTGTGTGTGTGTGTGTGTGAGTGACATGAACATAGAAGGTGGACTACATGGGGTTGAGGAAGGGGTCTAAGGGAGAAGAAAACAAAGAAGGTAATGGAGAGAAGAAAGGCAAATGTTTTCTCTCATGTAGGATCAGATTTAACTAGATAGGTGTCTGTTTATAGAGAGAGGGGCAGGAGAAAGGAGATTAACTGATAGGGGAGCATCACTCTCCTTTGATGAGTCTGCCTCTCAGTTGCTAAAGCCCATCTTCCCAAAAGGCAATTGGAGACCACCTCCTAGGTTAATGGTTCCATGGTCCCCAAGGAGAGGCACAGGCCCATATACTGTACTCTTCAGAATCCTAAACAATGAAAGAAAAGATCTCTCCTGAAATACACTCACTCATTTAAACTAGGAAGACAATCACGAGAGACTGGGAAAACAAAAAGAAAGGGTTTCTCACATTACTCTGGTCTTTCAAGACCATGGAAACACAAGTCAACAGGATTTAACTTCACTCCTCACATTTTCTACACACTGCCTCCGAGATTGGAATGTGAAGCCCAGCCTCCTTCCTGGTTCTCTCCTCTTCAATTGCAGAGTCCTTGCTGTTAGAACACACAGGAATGGCCAGCAGACCTTTCCCTGATCACCAACCACACTTACCAAAGCAGCCTGTGCCGTGATCGAAGGTATGCCTCTCAGTTGTGCTTCCGACAAGGCTCTCTCCAAGGCCTGTGGTTGTGAGACTACATGTTGTACCGTCACCAAAGCACAGCATTCATAAGATAACTTGAAGTGTGTACTTCAAATCATTAGAGGAAACGTTTAGTGAAACATCAAAGCTAAGGCTTAGAATCCAAATTTTTTCCCAGAAAAAGAAACTCCTTTCTTTTAAGGAACATGAAAAGTTTCTGATCACGTGGTAAAATTTTACTGCCTCTACTGCAGCTGCCCAGCCAGCAAGGACTGAGGAACAATGCTGAGTGCAGAATCATACTGAGGGGAAATAAGTCTTCAGATTGTATGAGTCCCCACAGAGCTGACGTGAGAAAGGAGAGCTCAGCTTCCTCCCAGGCCTTCTCCTAGCCCCCACTCACTCACCACTGCCTTCTCCTTAGTCTAATGAATTTCTACAATGGCTCTCTTTTTATATTTTGTTATTAGTTTAGGTGTATGAGTGTATTGCCTGCATGTGTGTAAGTGAACCCACATTGTACAATGCCTGAGGAGGTCAGAAGAGGGTGTTGGATCCCCGCCCCCAGTTGTTAGCTGCCATGTGGGTGCTGGGAATCAAACCCGAGTCTGCAAGAGCAGTCAGTGCTCTTAACTGCTGAGCCATCTCTCCAGCCCGTATAATGGCTTTTCTAATGTTAAGTCATTCTTGAGCTTCTGGGTTGTCTGACTTTTTCTGGATTCATCTTTGGTATAAATACTTCTGGATTTGATTTTTCAATACTATGCTTTTTTGTTGTTTCTTGTTTTTGTTTTGCCTTCAGGTCCATAAACATACATAACAACTATTGTCCAAACAATTTGAGGTTTTGAGGTATATGCCAACCTACTTTGGTCTTGATATAATTTGATCAAGGATAGAGTCATCTGACCAGCTCACTTTGGTTAGACCCTAGGGTCACTTAAAACATCTCCAAAAAATGAACTTGTGAAAGTGGAAAAAAGTAAGCACTCATTTTAAAAGATGAATGTCGTATTATATCTGGCTTTGTCAATCAGCAACCACGTTTTCCATTCACTTGTTGTTAATGTACGTTACAAACTCAAATAAAAGACTCAGTCAGGAACTACAGAATTTAATAGCCATGAAATTTCTAACTCAAAACCTAAAACACAAAACTTTAATAAATACATGTGTATACAAACATTATATATATCAAAAAGAAAATCAATACAGAACAAAAAACCAAATTAAAATTTCTTGACATTCCTTATCTGATCTATTCACTGTTTATTTTCTTTGCTTTTTAATAACTACATGATTAGAAGAAGCATTTCATTACAGCTTTAACATATTCAGTAACACTCCAGAGCAAGAGTACATCTCTTCCACAAGCGGCTGTAAGTTTCTAGGTTCACAGCTGAATTAATACAGTTATACAATATATTGAACTCAATATAAGCCCTGTAAGACATAAAACTTAGGGGATTTTTTTTGTTTTGTTTTTTAAGACAGGGTCTCCCTATAGCCCCAGCTGTCCTGGAACTCTCTACTCACTATGTAGACCAGGCTGGCCTTGAACTCACAAAGATCCACCTGCCTCTGCCTTAAAGGCATGTGTCACCATGCCCAGCTGAGATTTTAACCTTTAAAAAAGATCTCCATTTCATTTTAGAATATATTGTTCCTTGCAGAAGGACTCATTGTTTTTGCTACTAACACTGAGATGTTGGTGCATGCATCTCTAATCAGTATATATCTGATTATTACTAGAACTGGTTGCACTTGGATCCTTGGCGCCTGTGTATGTCTATGAAGTCATCGGACAGATTTCAGGGCTAATGTTTATCACCTCTACTAATTAGCATGATGTAAATTTCCATGCTTCCTCCTCAAATCTAGCCAAAGACATGTGTGTGTGTTTTAAAATTTTATTTTGTGTGTGTGTGTGTGTGCGTGTGTGTGTGTATATATATATCACACAGAACATCCCAAACCATCTTATTCAACTATACTCTAAATTTTTAGGCTCACAGTTGAGTTAATACAGTTACACAATATTGGACTCAGTATAAACCCTGTAAGACATCAAATTCAATGAGCTTTTAACCTTTAAAAAAGATCTCCATTTCATTTTAGAATATATTGTTCCTTGAAGAAAGACTCATTGTTTTTGCTACTAACACTGAGATGTTGGTGCATGCATCTCTAATCAGTATATATCTGATTATTACTAGTCATCATGGGTTGCACTTGGATCCTTGGCACCTGTGTATGTCTATAAAGTCATCGGATAGATTTCAGTGGTAATGTTTATCACCTCTACTAATTAACATGACATAAATTTTTATGCTTCCTCATCAAATATAACTCATTTTTTAAATTTGTTGATTTTTTTGTGTGTATATCACACAGAACATCCCAAATAATCATATTCATCTATACACCCACTTCCCAGATGGCACCCTCCCATAGCCTCCCCC